TATCACAATTTTATTCTTAATTTCTTATTTTATCATTTAAAATAAAGCTCCTTAAATCAATGTAATTCTTTAAGGGACCAATAAAAATATTAATTTAACTTCTTAAATTTTTTTTCTTTTGCCATATATCCTGAATATAAATATATATATATATATATGTCTGAGATTTTTAATTTGTGTTATTTAACGTAATTAAAATGTAGATTTGCTGGACAAGTAGGCGCTATTTCATGCAATATGAAGTCTAAGGAGGCTCACATCGGTGATACTTTGCATCTACGACATCAACCTGTTGATTTCTTGGAAGGATTCAATCCACCAAAGCCAATGGTGTTTGCAGGAGTATATCCAATGGATCAGTCACAATTGTCCTCTTTACAAGCAGCTATCGACAAACTTGCTCTAAATGACAGTGCTGTAAATGCCACTTTGGAATCAAGGTAAAAGTTATATCACCTATAAGCTTTATGAATGAAAATTGTTTTCTATATAAATGTTGATAATATAAAATCCTGTCCCAAATGAATATAAACTACATAAATAATAAACATGTTGATAAAACGACGAAAAAAAAATATTACAGTGCTGCACTTGGAAGAGGATGGAGAATTGGTTTTTTAGGTTTATTGCATATGGAAGTCTTTATTCAACGTCTTGAACAGGAATACGAGGCACAGCCGATAGTTACAGCACCTGCAGTGACTTACAAAGCAAAGATTTTTGGCAGTAAAAATATAACGAAATATCGAGGCGATACAGTGATCTTTAATAATCCAGTACATTTTCCAGACCCCCAAATTGTCACTGAATTTTATGAACCTATGATTATTGCGACGATCATTACACCAGGTATTTGCAATTTTACAGTAAAGTATAATTTAATTCATTCAAAATTGAATTTAAAGATATATCCAAAAAGAGAAAATAAATACATTTTCGAATACTTTGATTAGGAATTTGATGACTTTTTTCTCATTTTTATTTTATTTAATACTTGTAGATTAATCAATGTTTTGTAAAATGTATAGATACATACATGAGAGAAATCATATCACTTTGCTGGGAAAAACGAGGTGTAGAAAAACTGAACAAGGCTATTGGTAATAACAGATTCATGCTGCAATATGTGATGCCATTGAGCGAAATAATTCTCGACTTTCATGACTCTTTGAAGAATATAAGTTCTGGTTATGCTAGTTTCGATTACGAAGATTATGGTTATCAAATGGCCGACATAGTGAAGGTAATTTTTAAATGCCATGTATAAATTATTCTTGTTATACAATGTTATACTTTTTAATAGTATGTATTTTGATATATAAATTTTAGGTGAATATTTTATTAAATGGAAAAATGGTAGAAGAATTATGCACAATTGTACATAAAACAAAAGCATCTCAGATAGGCAAGAAGTTATGTATCAAGCTTCTTGATACTATTCCTCGACAACTGTTTGAAATAGTGATCCAAGCAACAATAGGGAGTAAAGTAATTGCAAGAGAAACTTTGAAGCCTTATAGAAAGGATGTAACAGCGAAATTAGTAAGTAAATGTTTGTATACTTTATATTAAAAAATAGAGCAGACTTTAAATTTGGGATAGTTGCACTAATTTCGCGTTCACTTTTTTTTCAGTACGGTGGTGATGTTACTAGAAGAAAAAAATTGCTGGCGCAACAAGCAGAAGGAAAGAAAAAAATGAAGATGATAGGAAAAATTTCCTTACCACGCGACACTTTTATAAGCGTACTAAAAAAATAATAATGTTTTTATATGTACTTTAATATGTAATTATTACACAAAACACAAAGTAATAAATATAAGCAATATAACATGTGAAAGTGCTCTAAGGCTCAGTTTCACAACTTAATTCCACATCCACGATACGATTTTATCAACAATGTCAAAATATGGATGTATTGGGTTGTCTGCAAAGTTCGTGCCGACTAACCTATATAATTTAATAAATATATACTAAAATTTAATTTTCTGCTTTTCAATTTTCCTTCAACATTGGGCACGAACTTTCCGGACAATCCAATAGTAATATAGTTGCTGAAAATAAATGTATGTATAGTTCGTAGCAAGAATGCCTGGGATTTGATTTTAGGGGTCTACATTTTATTCTTAGTTATCGTTACATTCATGAGTGTTAAAATCTGATACGATCGGATGTTATGTCAGCGATCATAAATGTATTGTAGTATTTGTGAATTGCTTTTTGACAGCTGATGTAATTAGTTTTAATCAGCGAAATCTCTCTTTATCAGATAATCTAGTAATTAGTAGGTTGAAGACCTTTCTATATTTCTCCATTCAGAAAAAGATGGCAAAGTTTTTTCAATGAAATCTCTAAAATACTCCAAAACTTAATTGAAAGGAAGTGTGTCAAAGCCTTCAATATATCAGACAAGTTGTAGTTTTGTTTTGAAAAAGTATAATTGCTCTTACTTGCCAATAAGAAAATATACTTTGTGAACTGTTTTTCTTACACAGGTAATAATATAAATAAGTGAATAAGAATAGTCAAAAATGGAGTGTTTGTGGCAAGAAGTGTTTTATTAAAGACAAGCACAGAAAGGTATTTCCAGATATTTAATCATAAGGAATATTTCAGAAACCCACCACGTTAAGAATGACGGTTAGTAAAATTCTTTATATTGCTGTTTCTTATTCAATCTCGGTGAAGATTGTAATCTCGGCATAATATATGAGTGACAGAATTAAAATTAAATTAAATTGCAAATTTCCTAAGAATGTATTCTGAATGTATTCTGTATAAGATTTTTCCCATATGTGTAATATTTTATTACATACTTGCTTTTAGACGATTAGGAAACAATTAATTAAAACAATTAATTAAAAAAAAATTGAATAAAATTCAATAATCATTATAATATTTAATAAATCGATGTAAGTTCTTATTGCTCAACAGAGATTTATATCTCTATCGCGCAATAAGAACTTATTTCTCCTAATCATCTAAAAGCAAGTATATAATAAAAGGATGGTTCACTTGCACACTAACAATAATTCACTGAGACTCTTCACCTTTTTTTTTGATAACTCTTCAGAATAGTTACCTCATCTCCGATTTCGAAATTAGACTCATTTGACGCGTTTTTGCCTAAAATGAAAGAATCTGGCAGAAAAAAATCCGAAGCTGCTCTATGAAACGAGATATTGAGCGTTAAAGTTGACAATTATTAAGGTTAGAAAATCTGTCATATGGAGTGTATAAATAGGAGGTTACGCCGCCCCGAACAAAAAAAAATAACATATCCTACCCACTTGGGGCCTCACTGCCTAGAAGTTGCAGCCTAGACAGTAAAAAGATCGCTCTAAGAAGACTGTTCTCACTTCTCACATATCTGTCTTCATGGATTAGAAATATTCCAAGGGGACACTATATCAATATATCAATATATCAATGGCCTAGTTTCCATCGAAGTTTAATCCGGAATCATTCTTTTTCTTCTTAGGGACTCCGCACAATAAAAGGAACAGGGAACAGAAAATAAGAATTTCAACTTATCAGAAATGATGTATTCCACAATACATGATTCTGGGCTGCGTTCGGAAATATCACTCGTTGGTGTGTTTGGTGATTTCAGTAAAGAAGTAGTGGGGGTATCGTGCCTTTGGATGGTAAAGTGTTCCCGAACGGCTTCCGTGTGGTATATGTCATATCAATTCCACTTCACCGTTCACGTTTAACCCTAACCTCGAGCTAAACAATTCACCGGTGAAAAAAGGTGAAATGATTGTAAAGAATAACAATGACGGTATATATGATGGTAAAAAGAAAGGAATATAAGTCATTCCTTCCACGATTACCGGCGCCTATTAAACATTTCACTGGATCGTCCTGGATAATTATATATTGCTGTATCGACTTTAGACAATGATAAAATTTTTCATCGTGAAAATTCGAGTTAATATAATGCTTCTACAGTGAGTCGATAGTCTTATGGGCCTTCTACAGCCATAAATCATAAATCATAAGTTAAAAATTAATCACAGTAATCAAGTTTCTGACTTTTGATTTATGACTTATAGCTCATTGATCTCATAGTAGGTCTATTAATCTTAATCGATGAATTTGATCAATCAGCGTTAGTTTTACAAGTTGGCTATTGGTCAACTTTACCGACTAAGACTATCGACTCATTGTAGAATAACAAGTAACCATATTCTGATTGTAACTTATTATTGTAAATCCTTAAAAAAAATTGACATCATTGATATAAAACTTTAGATGTTGGTTGTTGCTTCATCATCTATTAGTTCCTGCGAGGCTTAATGTCAATTTTAGAACAGTTAATTTTGTTCTAAATAGTACTGGACACATACAATTTTACAACATTTATAATATTATACAAATAATCTATTGTATAATGTAAAATATTATTAAAGAGCAATATAAAAAGAAAGTTAGAATAAAAATAAATAAAAAAATAGTAAAACTTAGACAATTAGATAAATTTTCTAGATTAATATAATTGCTCAAAATTTTTTTACCCAAGAACGCAATGTAATTGTCCTTTTTTCCCATTCCATGGAAAAAAAGAATGTCGATTCCCTTATGCACTATGCATTACGCAAGTCTGAGGTGCGTTCAAGAAATCTGGATATTGATAGGATGAGATAAACTCTAGGTGCACCCCAAAGTAATCTAGACGAAGGAGTTTCTGAACGCCTTGGGTGATGCAATTGGATGACTGGTAAACATCAGTGAAGATTGAGAAAAGGTATGAAAGTAAGAATAATTGCTGTTATAATCACGAAAAAGAGATCATATTTGTTCTACAAATCAATTAAACGTGACATTGCGCATGCGGGGCGACTTTTACCCAACTGAAAAGTAGGTTGACGATAGAGTGATCTTAGAGTAATCTAAATCATTTCTGAACGCTTTGGGTAAATTATACCTGAAATTTCTGAACGTCTGAGGCGCACACGTCTAGAGCACTCCAAAGTTACCTAGACGTAATTTCTGAACGCACCTCTGTGCTGCGATCATAACACCGGTTCACACCAACTCCCCTTGCTTTTCGCATGGATTAGTTTAGTGGCACTCGGTGTGACTCTCTTGTTTCCGAACGATCTCACACTAGTGCACATCAAGTACACACGAAATTTCCGAATGGCTGATGTGTATATAGTGGCACACCAGTGAGTGTTTTCGAATGCAGCCGATTTCTGATAAGTTGAAATTCTTAGGGGCTAGAATAAGAATTTCAACATATCAGAAATCATGTATTGTGGAATACATGATTTCTGATAAGTTGAAATTTGTTCTCTGTTCTCTATTCCTTTTATTGTTCGAAGCCCCTAATGCTATCGCGCTATTGGCTTTACGAACAGCGTTAGTAGTGTTTGTGTCCATAGCGCGAATAGTGTCTCCCCAAACATACCTACTGTATTTCTACGTTTGTACCATCTAATAATTTTATACATCTATGGTCGTTTTCTGTCGTATAAATTTAGTTATTAAATGTAATTAAATAGATACTTAAATATTCATGTCAAATTTGATATAATTAAATGTACATTGTACACACGAGTCACGAAGTTATGATGAAAAACAGGTTGTTTTTGTTTTTTCTTCTCTAAAATCCCGAAGGAAGCGTTGATTACAGTTTCGAATCATGAATATCATGTGCGACGTTGTTAAAACAGTTGGGTACTGATCTGCACTCCAGATGTAAAATATGATGAATTAGTAGACAGCGTGAGCTTAATTTTTAAAAAATTTAGGTAAGAGGACATAATATTAATATTAATCTTTATTGATTAGCCTGTTGGCCAAAACCACTTGAGACTTGATTTAAATTAAATTCTTTAATTCTTTATATTCTTACTCGTATTCTCTTTTCTTTTGTTTTTCTTGTTTTTTTAATTTTTCATCCAATCATCCTCCTTTTTTCCCCTTTAAAATTTCCTTTTTATTAAATATATTAATTTTCTACATGCATATTTATATGTTCTATCTAAACCTCTTCTGTCTCTACATCTACAATGAGTCAGTAGTTTACAGTTGATGAGTTGCAGCCAGCAACCAACTTTTACTGACTATCAATTCATTATAGATTCAGATTTTCATATGTTATATTTTTTCTATCTCTTCTATCTTTCTCTTCTAATGTTTATTCTTTTTCTTTTCATTTCCATTATATAATAATATTACTAAACTGTTTTTGACATATTACTTACAAAGATATTATAAAATATCGCACAATACATCAATTTCTATAAATTTAAGATCTGTTCCTTAAAGCTGAATTAATATATACTAGTACTTAAAATCAAATAGATATAAATAATGAATTCAGTCACTTGTATTATATTAGATTAGTTTATATTAAATTATACATGCCAGTAACAAAGTTAAATATAGAGAAGCATACAAATATTCTAAACAATTATATATTCAATAATGATATTATTGTTTATCATGTTATTTAATAGAATATGCATCTGTTATTTTATTCTTAAAATTGATTGTGCCATTGCATTTAAATACTTTATATAAATCTTTAATATATACTAATCCAATATAAGTCTTTGACTTTGGATGGCCCTGATCCTCTTTTCGAGATTTACTTTGTCAGTTTTCTTCGAGTTGTGATAAAACAAATATAAAAATTGGAATGCAATGCACTGTCTACCTCGAACTGGGCAGGTGTAACAAAAAGAGATGATGCAATCAAAATGAAAATGGAAAGCAGCCTCTAAAACACTGAGCACCTGTGACCACGATGCTTCGACGTTGCTTAGACGCGCGCTCAGACAAATGAAAGGACTAATGATAATGTGATACAAATGCACAGTCGAAGTCGGCCATGCTTTTCAAAAATATTATATAATTGAGGTGATGCAATACTTGAAGCGAGACAAGACGCGCTCGAGTGCATCCACTATAGTACAAATGGCTGGATTCATCATTAATCTATTTGGTAAATATGTCGATGAGAAGAACTCCCCCTATGACCTTGATCTTGATATATGTTGTCAAGATCATGACCTTGAGTGATCTCTAACAGGTTTTAATCGTCGCTCGTTATTTGCTTCGTTATTTCATTCTTAAAAAGTTATTAACAAAAAAAATTCAATTAATAAAATCTAATGATTATTCTACAATATGCTTTTTGTTTTCTGTTTTTTGCTTTTTACTATTTTTTACATCTTGTCTTTTTGCTTCTTATCTGGTTTTTTGTTCTATGTCACCAGAGATAAAAATTAACTTCAGAAGAAAGAGAACTCGTAGCAAGAAATACATTTGTCGATAAAATGATTGCAAAGGAAGAAAAGCAAGAGGTAAAAAGCAAAAAACAGAAAACAAAGAGTACTTTATAGAATGGGCTTAACTTTTGGAACACGAATGTGTTTTGATGAAACAAATTCCCTGCTTTAACAATGCAAAATATTTTCTTATATAATTTCTTATATAATTTTTGTGTTTTTAAAACAGAGAATTGTATTTATAAAGCAGAAAATATTTTTTTTTATGTATAATTTACATCTTTTCCATTCTTTTTATGGGTAGAAGTTTAAACCTAACATTTCTTCAAAATAAATACTGTAACTAAATGAATTCCTATAACAAAAAACATAAATATTCTCGATGAATTTTTATTCGAAAAGATTTATTCATTTAAAAGAAGAATTGAAGCTTTTTTTTATATAATATTAGAGAAATGTATTCTATTAATAATAATAATAATGGTATTGGGAATACAAATTAGTTCGATCCGTTTCCCTAAAGATGGCTCCAGCTGTTGTGAATGGTTCATAGTGACAGCTGATTTTGGCGGTTTCAGAGAAATTAAACATCTGCTAATAATATTCAGTTTATATCGCTTTGAGTTTCATATAAAAACCTTAATTTTTGTAAAAAAAACTGTAATGGAAATGTCGAATTTTGTGTTAACCAACAGAATTTGCGGGAGGTTTTGATTTTTTGCTTTAATTGGAAGAAAAGTGCGGCCGAAGCCTATCGAATGCTTGTCGAAGTTTATGGTGACACTGCTCCAACTGATAAATCATGTAAGGAATGGTTTCGACGTTTCAAAGAGATTTCAGTGTTGAAGACAAGCCTCACTCTGGACAACCAAAAAAATTCGAAGACAAAGAATTAGAGGCATTACTCGAAAAGAATCAGAGTCAAATGCAAGAGAAGCTTGCAGAATCATTGGGGGTAACTCAACAAGCCGTTTCTGTACGATTGAGAACCATGGGAAAACCATGATTCAAAAACAAGGAAATTGGGTTCCTTATGAACTGAAACCGAGAGACATTGAAAGCGATTTTTCTCTTGCGAACAGCTGATTCAAAGACAACAGAGAAAAGGTTTTTTGCATCGGTGACTGGAGGTGAGAAAGAGATGGATATTCTACGACAATCCCAAGAAAAAAAAATATTACGCTAAACTCGGTCAATCGTTGCCATCGACCTCAACATCAATACCATGGCCGAACATTCATGGTTCGAAGATCATGCTCTGTATCTAGTGGGACCAAAAGAGTCTTGTTTACTGAAACTGCTGAAATCTGGCGATTCCATTACGGGTGATCGGTATCGGCTACAATTGATTCGTTTGAGCCGTGCATTGCAAGGAAAACGGCTGGAATACGAGCAAAGACATGATAAAGTTATTCTTCTTCATGACAACGCTCGGCCTCATGTCGCTAAAGTCATAAAAAAATATTTGGAAACGCTCAAATGGAATGTTTTACTGCACCCGCTGTTCTCCGGACATTGCTCTTTCTGATTACTGGTTCTTCCGAAAGATGCAGCAAGTCATCGGTTCACTTCTTTCGCAGAAATCGAAAATTGGCTCCAAAATTAGATCGCCTCCAAAGACGAGTCATTTTTTCGAGATGGAATTCGAAAATTGCTTGAGAGATGGGAAAAAGTAGTAAGCAGCGATAGACAATACTTTAATCTGTTCATTCTTTGTTTTGAAATAAATGCACAAAAAAACCGAACTAATTTGTATTCCCAATAAATAAATTATATAAGAAATTATATAAGAAAATATTTTGCATTGTTAAAGCAAAGAATTTGTTTCATCAGAGCACAGTTGTGTTAATCAAAGTAAATTTTATTGATGAACTTTTTTGTTAATAACTTTTTAACATATAACGAGCGACGACTAAAGCCTGTTAGGGCATAGTTCACGTTTGGTAGTCATTTGAAGTAAGCTGTCTCAAAGTCTGCAAAATACTCATTGACGGCGACAATGACTTCCTCATTTGACGAGAATTTCTTCCCACCGAACCAAGTTTTTAAGTTTGGGAACAGAAAGAAGTCATACGGGGCCAAATTCGAAGAATAGGATGGATGAGGAATCAATTCATAACCCAATTCGTAGTTTTGTCATTGCAACAGTCGACTTGTGGGACGGCGCGTTATCTTGGAAGAGCACTTTTTTGCGCGCCAATCTCGCTTCAAATGACTATCAAACATGAACTATGCATTCTTTCTGGCTGAAATTTGGCCTGAAGGGATTCGAAGAGTAGATCTTTCGAGATGTCGCGTCATCAAATGGATTGTAGCGATTTCATGGAATTGGAGTCCATTTCATGAAAATTTATCAAACTTATCAAACGACTCACGTATGTCATGATCATCAGAGTGGGCTTCCGTCATCAATATGTTTATTGTCTATTTGAAGTTTATTGTCTATTTGATGAAAAAAAAGTTTTAGTACAATATTTTACTATACAGGATGTCCCAGAAAAAGTTTAAGTGCTTTCACTGGCAGATTTTGTGGAATATTCCAAGATGAAAAGTCTTATATGAAATCGTCGAGATTATAATTGATGTTCTATAATGAATTAGTTGATAAGTGTTGATATATTTATATATATATATATATATATATATA